AAGCCAGATGAATGTGGGTAAAGATGTTAGTGATGAAGGAAGACGAGGAAGAAGCGAGGGAAGGAGAGAAAGAGGGAGAGGGCAGAGGAGAGGGAGGAGGGAAGGGCATCGCAGAGGAGGTGGAGGAGGAGGAAGAAAATATGTTTGAGTAGGGGAAATAGATGTCGAGATTGAAGCACTAAGGTGGAGTGGGACAGTGTTGCCATGGGGTCTAAACTCCCATGTTGGGAAAGGCTGCTGCCAAACGGATACAGAAATGGGAGCCTGCCAGGGAGAAATGGTAACATAGAGACACAGCATTGGGAGGCCGGCTCTGTGACACCCAAGTTGGAGTGTCTGATGTTGAAGCCAAGTTTGGAAAACAGAGAAATGGTAGAGAATCAGGGGAAACATGTAGAATAACGGAGGTAAAAGACCCAACCACACCCGCAAAGGACCCAAACTTTCTAAATGTAAAGAGGCAATTGAGAGGGAAAAGACTTTGTTCTCTGCACTGCTAGAAGAAACTTTGAGATAGCTCTGCTAAGCACCAATTAACTAACTAACTAACTCACTAGCTAACTAAGTAACTAAACTAACCTGCAGAACCCACAGGTTTTTTTCTTAACTCTTAGGGAGCCTGCAGTCCACCTTCCAAATAAATTTGTGGAGACTTATTCTTGTTTATGTATGCTGGGTCTTAGCTTAATTTGTCTCTAGACAGCTTTTCTAACTTAAATTATCCCATTTCTCTTTAACTACCTCTTGCCTCTGGGCTTTTTACCTTTTTTTATTCTATATGTCTTCCTATACTTCTTACTCCATGGTTGACTGTATGGCTGGGTGGCTGACCCCTGGCATCCTCCTCTCCTTCTCCTTCTCTTGTTCCTCCTTCTCTTGAGCCTAGATTTTTCCTCCTATTTATTCTTTCTGCGTGTCAGCCCCACCTGTCCCTCTCTTGTCTAGCTATTGTCCATTCAGTTCTTTATTAGACTAATCAGGTGTTTTAAGCAGGCAAAGTAATGCAGGTTTACAGAGTTAAACAAATGCAACATAAAAGAATGCAACACGTTTGCATCATTAAGCAAATACTCCACAGCGTAAATGAATGTAACACATCTTAAACTAATATTCCACAACACCACCCAGCTGACCAGGTAACTAAATTTGGAGTAGAATACTTGGCCTCAAGCTCTGGTTCACCTATTTATAAGCAACATGTCTTTAGGAATGGTATTCTCTGTTTAGACCAGTGTTAAATTTGGGATAATATCCAGAAGCATTTCGTAAGGTAGTTGTGAACTCCAAGCTCCAAAGCCAAGAAAGAAGATGCATGAATCATAAGCAAATAAGATACACTTTATGTGCCGAGGTAAGGCTACTCTAGATGCCAATAGGCATACAGGCAGGCACAAGGCAGTGGGCTGAACACAGGTGGGTAAAGTCACCAAAGCAGACCTGCATATATAGGACATGTAGGTACACACAGGGAAATGCAGAGGCAAAAGCAAAGTTGTTTGTTTTGGACCTCAGGGATAGGTTTACACAAAACTCATGAAGAAAAATTCTGCCAGAAATGCGTATTTAATAGGTTACATGCCAATTTACTTCAAGTGTCAGCCTGGATGTCCAGTGTCAGCCATATTTTTACTGATTTATACTGGATTATAGTGATGTCATATTTTAAGCTTCAATAGGCCCCTGTGGCCTCTTGTTCTTTACAGTTGTGCATCTGTTATTTTTCACATTTCTGTGACACTGTACCTGACAAAAACAGCATTAGGAAGGGTGTATTTTCTTTTGTGTCAGTCCATCACCGTAGGGAAGGTGTGGAAGTGGGTGTCTCAGACCTCTTGTCACTTTGTATTCTCAGCTGTATTCTCTGCCTCATTGGAGGCAGAGCCACCAATGGCGGTACTCCGTTTGCCTCCTCCTACTCAGTCTGGAATTTCAGCCCATAGAATGGCATTCCCCTTATTTAGGATGGGTCTTTGTACTTCCATGGCAGACTTGTCCAGAGGTTTGTCTTGTAGGTGATTCTAGATGCTGTCTGGCTGACAGCAATAACCATAACTGGTTATTTAAAGATAAAACTATTATAACATTGATTACGAAGTATCCTGTGTAAGTCTTTCTATGAGAATAGGTAACCGCAGAGTTCTGTCCTTAGTAGCTGTCTATAAATAGAGACCTGCTGCTGTTTAATGTGAGATGTCTCCTATAGGCTCATGTGTCTAGACACTTGGTCCCCACATGAGGGTGTCATTTGGGAAGTTCATGGACCATTAGGAGTGAGACCCTTGCTAGGGAAAGCGTGTCACTAGGAAAAGGGCATGAAGTTTTCTGGCTGTGCTTCTCTTCCTGCTTCTTGACTGTGGGTCAAATAAGACTACCGGCCTCCCATTTCTGCCTCCATGTCTCCTCTGCTATGATGGATGGTAGCCTCTTGAGTTATAAGACAAGATAAATCTTTCCTTGCTTCTAACCCGGTATTTTGGCCATAGCAATGAGAAAGGTAACTGATTTAAGACCCATAATATAACATTTAGAAGCAACCTGGAAAGGTGAAAATAACCTACGAAGCCTAGAAGAATGTGAAGAAAATACACAACTTATGAATATCAAAATGCAAAATACTAATGATAGATGAAGTGGCTAGGAACTTAAGAGATTAGTATGGCAAACTTGGTAATATGTACAAAACAAATTAAGGGTCTCATTGGAAGTGATTATTAGATACCACTACAGCTATGATAACTTTTGAGGGTTCCAGATATGTATTCTCTCAACACTGCACAACACACAGAATTCCCATTGGCTTCACAATTATGATTACACTTACAGCAGAGCCCCTACCCATGATGCTGAGGGGATGACAGTGGTCAGGACCAACCAAGCCCCTGGGGTTTCAATTTGCACATGTCTTTGGGGCATCTTTTTAAAATTATGTTCACAATTTTTCAAAAAAAGAAAAAAAAAACCCACCCACCAAAGCAAACAAACAAAAGAACTGACACCAACTAGAATCTTCAAACCTCTTCTACAAACACAAGGAAACCTAACTAAGAACCTGCAGCTTAGCTGCTGGGTAAATGTCATTTATATCACCTGTTGTCTACACCGACAGAGATGACTTCAGCTCTCTGACAGCTGAGTAAATACTGCATTGCTAAGTCTGCAGGACACCACACTGCTCCAACAGACTACCATATCAGGCTAGAGTGAAATGGGCAGATTAAAAAGAAAAAAAAACCCAAACAACAAAAACAATAATAAAACTACCACCTTCCATCCGTTGTCCATTTTCCTCTCTAATACAGGTGAGAGCACTATTTTCAATTTCTACTCCTGGCTGGAAAGTCATCCTGAAATTGAAGCCACTTCACAGGCTAAGTGCTTAGAGGAAAGTTAATCCGTCAGGATGGAGACAGTAAGTTGGACAACTATAGTTCCCTTGAGCCACCAGGGAAAGGCAGGACAGTTTTTTATTCCTTCAGCTGCAGTTTTTCTATCAGACTTCTACTTAGAAGGAAAAAAAAACACATTTTCATTAGCAGATAAGTTTATTTTCTTTAACTTAAATTTGATGATAAAATTTCTTAGCCATCCCCAATATTCTGGAGAGTAGTACTATCATGGGACTTGTGAAAGGGAGACAGGCCCATTGATTGTTGCTTCGGGTTCCCTGAGCAATAAAATGTGAAATACAGTCTGGAAGGAACAGAAAAAAAGCCCACAGTGCTACTGCTATAAAAGAATAGCTGTATGTTCCTTCGGTTGTGTGCATGAATAGAACAAGCCACCTACGTGCTGGTCCGGGTAATACGTCTAGATGCTTATTCTTATAGTGTTGGTTGTGAGTCTAGCCTTTAGTGGCTGAGCTGTCCCTCCAGCCCTAGATGCTTATTCTACAGCTGAAAATAAATCCTTTCCAATCAGGAATTCAGGTTGCTGATTTCATATTTTCCCATGTTGTCTTTGACCATTTGTATTTAAATAACCACAAAGAATTATGTGAAAATCTATTATACACGACAGAAGTCTGTACAAAAGTTAGCCAGTTTGCAGCATAGATGGAGAGTGCGCCAGGAGGCTTTACCGCTCCTGGAGGGCCTACTGGCAGTTAATGTTAGCTGGGGGTGGGGTTGGTGGGTAGGGGCAGAGGGTGCCCACACTCCAGTATAGATCCTCCCCCTCAAGATCATCCGAACCACTCTAATGATTAAACTCATGGGTCACACACAAAATAGAATATGAAAAGAGGAGGAGTACTTGTTACAGATGGGGGTGGGGAAAGACAGGACCTGGGACAGAAAATGGCTAAAATTCATTATATACACACACGTATGAAACCATAAAAAGATTTCAAAACAGAAAACAAGTGTTGACTTTAGAAGCCATTTTGATTTCTACCCTAGTATTTGGAGAAGGAAGAATACAACGGATGGTATAGAAGAGGGAAAGGTTGCTTTTTGTATTTATTTTCACAATTACTTTCTGCAGTTCTTGCCTACTCAACAACTTTTTGCCAACACTAGGCAGAGCCTCTGATTCCTCAACACATCCCAGCTCCCGTACGCCCTTGCGGCATGGAAGCTTAGATTTCTTCCTTCTATCTCACAGCCTCACCCGTTGCATTCTCTGTCTCTTCACTCAGCTCTGTCTGGACCTTGAACAGGCTGACTAGTTTTCACACCAATGCAAGCTTTCACTGCTCTCTGTGTTTAGGTTCCTGTGGACTGAAGTACACGATGCTCTGAGTGTTCTACCATTGAGCAAGATCCTAACCGCTTTTCATAAGCCTTATTTTGAGACCGGGTTTTACTGAGTGGTCCAGCGGGCTTTCAGTGTCACTCTGTAGTTCAGGCAGGTCTTGAATTTGCAATCCTCTAGCCTCAGGCCTGATTATCAGGAATTATAGGCTTGCTTTGCCATGTCAGGCTATGAGTTTTCATTCTTCACAAACTATATAAACAAGTGAAAATTCAAAAATGCAAATATTGACCATAGCAGACAAGGAATTAAGATAGACTGATTTTAATTATTGATGACACAAGCCCACATGTTGGCACATTTTACAACAAACTGCAAACTCAAAATTTCAGTAGACTTTTTTTTTTAAATGATTGGGTTCGAAACCTAGTGCCTTGGAGGCCTTACACAAGTATGTTACCACTAGGCAACACCCCTGCCCCAAATCAAACTTTAGTTCTTTCATCAGGTAAGGTTGGACACACTTGTAATCCAAGAACTTTAGAAGCTGAAGTATGAAGATTGGGCGTTGGTGGCGCACGCCTTTAATCCCAAGGCAGAGGCAGGCAGATCTCTGTGAGTTCAAGGTCAGCCTGGTCTCCAGAGCGAGTGCCAGGATAGGCTCCAAAGCTACACAGAGAAACCCTGTCTCGAGAGAAAAAAAAAAAAAAGATTGTCATTTTGAGTCTTTCTTGGGGTACAATGAGATTACAATTCAAAAAAAACAAAACAAAGAAAAGTAAAAAGGAAAATACAATCTTCCATGCACACGATGAAGGCTAAAATTTCTTTTTGTGTCAAAGAAACTCATCAAAACATTAAAAGCACTCACAATACACAAACAGAATATATGGTAACGCACTGTTACAGTGATTTCCATGGGAACACCTGGGTGACGCTCGCCCCTCGAGAACTGGTTAAGGTAGCAGGTGTTACTATTCACATCTCTCCTCACCTCTGCAAGGTCACAATTTAGGAATGATTATTAAAACAGTAATTTACTCACTATGGGTAGTAAGAAGCACATTTGGAATAAAAATGAACTTCAGTCGATTGTGTTTCATAATAATCTAGTACATTATTTTAGTATAGCTATATAGCTCCAACTTACCATGTATCTAAATGGCCTGTATGGGTTTTGGTTTGATCTATGGTTCTGTTTCTAATAAGCTTTCATTAACTAGTTAGTAGTATTCATTAGTGAAATACATTCTCAGACAAAGTGTTATTTAGGTTAAAAAATGTAAGTACTACATCAAACATTTGAATTAACATTTGATAAGCTAAGTTAATTCTTCCTCTCATTACTCCTTTTAGCCTATTCCGGTGTGTGTGTGTGTGTGTGTGTGTGTGTGTGTGTGTGTGTGTGTGTGTGTGTGTGTGTGTGTGTGTGTGTGTGTAGAGGTGGAAGACACCATATAGGTGCCTGAGGAGGCCAGAAGATGGTCTTGAATGCCATGGAGCTGTAGATGCAGGTAGCTGTGAGCTGACTGAGGAGGACCTTGGGAACCAAACTGGTCCTTCCCAAGAATGAAGAGAAAATGTTCTTCACCACTGAGCCACCTCCAGCCTTTCACCTTGTGTTTGGAGACGGTCTCTCATTGTGTTTATTGATTCATTAGACTGGCTAGACAAGTCCCCAGGATACTGATGTTTCTGCCTCTTAAATCAGGGCTATATATTTATGTCTCTGGACCCCATTCTTTAAATGGGTGCAGAGGAGCTGAACTTCATTCCTCATGACCACACAGCAAGTGCCTTAATGACTCAGCCATTTTTCTAGGCCCCTATTCTATAGATGTTTTTGGTAGTAGCTTCTGTTTCCTTTTACAGGGAAAAACTAGTTCTTAGTTGCCTGCTACAAACTGTTACATTCATTATGTTCAACATTATTGTGCCTAAGATCTCTTCAAGTTTGAACAGAATAGGGAAGAGGCCAAATGTGTACATTTATATAGTTAAAACAACTGCAGAACAGCCAAGTAAAATATACATGTCTACTGTAAAACTGTGAGATACCGCATTTATTTTCTCTAGGATCTTAGCATATTTCTAAAGCATATACGGTTGCTTAGGATGTGATGAAATAAGGTCAAAGACAAGATATCATATTTCAGTGTCATAAATACTGATGGGAATTATTATATTTTTTGCCAAAAGAAATACATAATACATTCCTCATCACAAAATTAATTAAAGCCAATGCTTTTTTTAATACGTAAATATACTTGAGATTTAGTTTCCGACCTTCAAGAATTCCTTTCCAAAATGTTAAAGTCCTGTGGAAAATTGGAGAATCTTCACTTGAAATAATAAAAACTTTAAGTAGAAGTAAAACAGACAGATATAGTAGTTAGCTTGGGTTTAACAGTGAGGCCCCAAAATCATTGGTGTTCATGTGTTCTCTCCCCATGACTGTTGTATTCTGAGATCAGTAATGGGTAAATTGTCAAAATAAAATCATTCTTAACACTAGTCAGATTAAATTAGAAGTAAAACCATAACAGTACTGTCACTAGGACACTAGGCCAAGAGAATGTTCATGAGATGACTAAATACACATCGAAGCTCAAAATTCATTAAAGTTATTTTGATGCATTCCTCCAACAAGAAATCTAGTCTTTGTAAGAGGTGAATTCATGTTCATCCCATTTCTAGAACACACTACATTCCAACATGATCTTTCTTTGTAGAAATAGTTTTGTGAGATAAAATTGTAAAGCACAACAAAAATGTTTACAGGCCTAGGCAACATTCTAATTTACAAAACTATGAATTTTGTAGTTAATAAGGAAAGAACATGTAAAGTACTTTTGAGACCCCCAAATTTTATGTTATAGGATTTACAGATCAATAAATAGATCTAATCTTATTTGAGAAATAAGTAGTATTAAAAATTAAATAATACTCCACAGATGCTAGTATTTTTCATTTAGAGATTGGGGTTCATTCTAACCCAGTGTTTGATTAATTGATGTGCAATAGCTCGGCTTGGTGGTACAAAGAATGCTTGCTGCTTCCCTTTGGTAAGAACATCCATAACCTAAAACATAACCGAGAGACAGCACATTAGAGGACCAAGTAATACAACATTCCTAGTTGCTTCAGTGAGTTAATGTTTCAGCTTTTAACATTCCAGAAAGGCACATAAAAGAAAGCCATGAATGAAAGCAAAATACATGTTCTGCACTTCAAATGAAGTTAACTTTTTGGTATACAATCCCTACAATCCTTTTCCTACAATCCCGAAACAACAATCTAATTTCTTTTATGATTATAAAACAAAAATCAGTTTGATTATGGGCAAAGCCATAAATAATCCTACATCATTAATGTGCTACATTGTGTCCCTTTTTTCTAATCAAATTTTGGGTTTGTAAAACAAAAGAAAACAAAAACAGCAACAAACCTCAAAATCAGTCCATTAGTTTATCTCTTTTACTTAAAAATGTAATTTTAAAAAGTTTATGAAAATATATTATGACATATTTATGTATTTAATGACATCTATGTCTGTCTTGTCCTTCAGTATATTTCTTTTTTCCTTTTCTTTATTCTTCATTTCATATATATGAAAAGAAAATAAAGATATAAAATATTTTATATTTTAATATTAAGATATTTTATAAAACATTATAAGAAATATAAAAATATTTTATAATATTTATAAATATGTATGATAGAACAATATGTAATAGTATATGAAATATAATACACAATAAAATATATACATATACACATTTTAAAAGGTGGAGTCTCACTCTGCAGTCCAGGCTGTCCTGGGACCCACACTGTAGATTGTACTCAAATTCTTGGCAAGCCATATGCTTCAGCATTATCTTTCAAAATACATAAGAGCTTCAAAGACTTCAAGCGTTTTTCCCGATTTGTTGAGAGCAATTTGCTTTAATGTAAACATCTGAGATTAATATTTGATATGTCTGAATGAATATAAATACTTTAAGTTGACTAAAAGGGATCATCATTCATTCTTCACTCAGCACAACATGTGAAATTTGAAATGGCAGAGAACCATCATTCTAGGAGAATCTCACAGGACACGTCAGCAATGCACGTTTTCTATATGGAATTATCAATGATATCATCATCCATTCATAATGAGGGGGCTGCAGCCATTCATCCCACTTGCTGAAATCTGCTTCCTTGCTGCATGCCTAAACCAATACTATCAGGGAGCAATCGATAGAATAAGGAAATTAAATTGAACTTTACCTGTTCTCTAGTGAACCATCGGGCATCCTCTATTTCATTCTTGTCAACTTTAATTTCTGTAGACACTGCCACAGCTAAACAACCAATCATTAAGGAGGAGGGCATTGGCCATGGCTGACAAGAGACATACTCAACATGGCCAACCTTGACTCCACTTTCCTCTTCTACTTCTCTCCGCACAGCATCTTCTATTGTCTCCCCTAATCAGATGAGGCAAAGGAACAAGTGGCTGCTCAACATGGCTTGGATGCTGTGAGCCCCAAACAGTTCAAACATTTTGAAATCACCCTGGAAAGAGCCCCCATTCACTGAATGCCAAGTCTAGACTGGAAGGGCAGAAAGTGTTACATCCGGAAGTCTGTGGCCACAGCTAGAATATCAAAATGCCAACAATCAACTTACATTTCTTAAAAGCCCCAAGTTGGCAGTTCTGTAAAAAAGAAATTCCAAAATCTGCAATTACACATACTGTTGCCTAAACATTGTTAAAAATTTTTATTATCTCAAGCATCACTCTCCATAAGCAAATTATTTCATGAATTTTATAAATGGCTTGTTTTCTCCGCCATTAAAAATCTTTGGTTTTATTCTGAGATAGGGTCTTAAGTAGCTCATGTTGACCTTGAACTTGCTATGTAGCTGAGGCTATTCTTTGTCTGCTGAGTCTAGTGTCTCTACTTCCCAAGTGTTAGTGTTGCAGACAAGCAAGTACTAGGACAATCAGCTTTCTTAAAAACCTTGGGATTCAAATCAAGATGAATTCTTTCTAAGCATTGTTTTTCCCTATGAATGAATGTTCTGGATTTGGGAAAGTCCAAATAATAAAAATATTTTAAGGTAAAATTAATTTGGATGTTTAGAAATTTTAAAGTTTATAATAGTATTTAATGAGACATATTTTTAAATATAGTTTTTATTTCAAATAGATTGATGCATTCTCTATACACAAGTTCTTGTATTTACTATGCAAATTACACAGTGAAAATAGGCCACAGACTAGTAGAAGAGTTTGCCAGACCATAATAACAATAAATGTGTAAAATCAATTTTAACTAAGGTTAAGAAACTGGAACAAAACAGACAAAGGACACAATTATCTACAATGAAAAGGAATGGTGCGTGTGTCATGCACATTTGATAATGACATTTCATCAGTAAAGCAATGGAAACACATGCAATGAATGACACACTATTTTGTACCTCTCTGAAGGACAAACTATAAAATCTGAAAATAGGAAAACCCCATGCTGGACCTGGTGACACTTGCCTATGATCCCAACACTTGGTAGGCCAAGGCAAGAGGATAAGTTGGAAGCTCATCTGGGCTATAGTGCAAACAATCTTTTCAAATACCAAAGTGTGAAACTTCCAAGGTGGCAAAGATATGGACGAATATAACATTCATGTTCTATTGGTGGGGGGTGTGAGCTATCAGGGACTACTTAGAGAGACACTTGGAAACATTTAGTAAAGTTTAATATGCTAATATAGGCAGTGACATTCTACTCTACGTATATACCGGATGTAGCTCTTGTAAATGCGGAACAGAAATACTACATACAGTATTGTTTTCAATAGTTGAAATCTTTAAATAAACTAAATATCCACAGCAGAACAGCTGAATATACACCAGAAAACTCATGTGAAATACTACTTGGTAGTTAAAAATGGCTTACACTTTAAAAAATTATTTAATCATAAATATACTGTTTTGATTATATTATTTTCCCTCCCCAATTCTGCCCAGATCCTCCTCATCTCCTTACCCACCCACCTTCATGCTCTCTTTCTTTCAAAAAAAAGCAAAAACCAAAACAACAAAAAGTCAAAATAGACAAAAAAGAAAGACAGGAGGATGGGGAGGAGGAGGAGGAGGAGGAGGAGGAAGAAGAAGAATTAGAATAAGAATAAGAATAAGAATAAGAATAAAAAGGAGAAGGAGAAGGAGAAGAAGAAGAAGACGACGACGACGACTAAGAAATACCAAAACAAAATAAAAACATATGGAGTCAATTTTGTGTTGCTCAACTACTTTTGGGTTGTGGTTGATATGCTCAGTGACACTCCATTGGGGCAAACTGATTTTCCCTTTCACAGAATGTATCAATTCCAAATAACTTCTTTGTTAGAAGTGGTACTTTGTGTCCACATCCCCTTCTCAGTGCAAGACAGTGACTAGTATCCTGCAAGGACTCAGGGGTGGGACTGCCTGGGTTTAAATTGTTTCTCCACAGGGGTGATCTGGGGGAGTTATGCAGCCCTGTGGCATAATGCCACCACCTGTGAAAGTGATGCAACAGTGCCCACTTTATAAGATTGCAAAAGGATCAGAATATTTAACACAGGCATTTCCAGTTGAGTGACAGGGAATATATGTTTACTACTATAATTACCCAACAGTGCAGACTAAAACTAAATGCTGAGATTAAACATTACTAATCTATAAATGTTCACTCATTTGCTTTGGAACACCTAATATAATCCTATTACAAGTGAGTCATTGGCTCTGACTGACATGTAAAAATGGATGAAAGAGAATATTTTATTTTACAGAACCAATGTGCTACTAAAGTCCACAATTTATACGTATGTATTACAGGGTGGTGTTGATCACTGTAGGGAAAGGTCAGGAAGGATGCCTGTGAATGCAGCTATGGAGGCTAATGACTGGGATAATCATACAGCCCTTAGAAAGGGTGCCACTTACATCTAGCACTGAAGAGAGAGGTGTAAGCCACCTGGATTGCTGGTCAAAAGCAATGTATGACAAAGCAAATATGAAATTTTAATAAACAAATTACCTTACTTGTTAAAATTTGAAAATGTTACAATGCTTAAATTTCTGGGTTAAAATACTGTTTTGAGTATTTCAGGGTTGGTTGGGTGGCTCAGCAGATAAAAGCACTTGCCACCAAGCTGGATGACTTAAGTCTGGGACACACATAATTGAAGGAGAAAACTGACAAACTTGTTGTCTGTCCTTAACAGTGCAACCTTCATATATATGTATATACACCCATGAGTACATACATAGTATGTACATGCATTAAGAAAAATGAAGCAAAATTTTTAAACGTTTCCATTTACAGCATGGCATTTATTGTGGGCTATATCTCATATTCGATGTTTCAAAGGCTTACCAGGTTCAATAAATCCAGCGAGACAAGTAAACATGCCTGGGGGGAATCGCTTTTGCCTGCCTAAAAGACATTTGGTTCCATCTGGGTGGATAACCTGCATGATCACTACTGGATCTGTTTAAAAACAAGCAAACAAATCAAACAGACACACAGGTAACAGGAAATACAACTGGACTCATCAGGCGATAATACCATGTGGGGATAAGATCCTTACAGGGACCAGATTCCTGTTTATATGACACTTCCTTTCTGCTCTGATGTGCTTGATAAACAGCTGAGAAATTGCACAGCCTATTTTTAGTAAGTGAGAGGAAGGTGATTTTACCATCCCCAATTCCAATCTTAGCAACATTTACTCTGTCCTTAGGCTATACTAGGCACAAGTTAAAGTAGATCATGGACATTGAAAAATTCACATTTTACTAAAAAAAGTAGGGTAAATTCCTTTCCCCCTTTCATCTCAATCCTCAATAAGATGCTTTTGAAAGTGAGCGTGGCTCTTTAGTTAGGTTTGGATCACTGAAATAATAACACATGGAAAACAGTTAATTTCTCTAGAAGTTATTAACATAAAAAACCCTCCTCACAAGGTCCTGAAGAGGGCCAGGACATAACATTCCTTGGCTAGGCAATCAAATAGTAAGCTGCCACTTGCTCCCTGGAGACTTCATCAGGGGTCTGCTGAGTCTATCTAATTTCTCTGCAATTTTAAGGGTTAGACTATGGGATTTCTCCAGCTAGAGCAGAAACAGCAGTAACTAGGAGGGGAGGCATAACCACAAGGCTGGGGAATGCCTCCAACAGGAACTCAACCACTTGAGACTTTATGATCCCTGCATGGAGAGGAGTCACACTGACTGGCTTTGAAATGAAGCTTTCCAACACAGCAAATTCATGAACTGATTAAACCAGAGGTCAGTCATGACTAATTGTGAACAATGAGTCTTTTACTCAATAATCACGACATACGTTCAATGAAAATGTCAGCATTTTAGTTCCTCAGAACTTTCCAGACTATCTTCTGACCTAAGATTACAGGTAGTTGAGAGTTCATTTTCAACAAACCAACAAAATAAACACCCCCTCCATGCACAAAATAAAAAACAAAAACAAAGCCACAGGGCTGCAGAGGCAGCTCAATAGTTAAGAGTGCTTGCTGCTCTTAGAGAGAACGAGAGTACATAGCCTAGCACCCACATTGGGTAGTTCTCAGTGAACCATGACTTCAGCTCAATGGGATGATACTGTCTACAGGTCTACAGGGCACCTGCATATTTACATTCTCTCTCTCTCTCTCTCTCTCTCTCTCTCTCTCTCTCTCTCTCTCTCACACACACACACACACACACACACACACACACTTCAAAAGAAGAAAAGCCTTACCAACTCTTGGATATGATGTATTGTGGACGCCATGCAGACTGGGACAGTTTTCTTTTAAACACACTCTTTTATAGCCACCTTCTTCGATTTTAGTTGCGCTGCCACAGGTTGGGCAGAACTTGTATCGATTATGCCATGCGAGAACAGATCTTGCTTGAGCTACAACCCCTTATAAAAAGAAGTACAGGAAGTTTTATTTCCATGCAAATGTGGAGCAGTGTGTAGGTACAATGCTTTGAAGCTACGTAAGGATATACATTGTTTTCTGAATTACTGCTTGGCCAATGGCTTTAGTATTTATTTATTTACTTATTTACTTTTTATTTTTTCTTTTTAGTATTTAATAACTTTTAATACAAGGCTCAAGATTTTAGGTCACTTTTTTTTTGCTGTAAGTCCTAGAGATAAACATATTTGATATATAATATAGGTAATGTTTCTTTCTTATTTTTCTCCATTTCTTAATTTAAATTAGAAACAAGATTGTTTTACATGTCAATCCCAGTTCCCTCTCCCTCCCCTAGTATTTATTTTTATGATGAATCATTATTTTATTCATTGTTTTATATTTTGTTTTAAACATTTTATTGTAATAATCTCACAAATAAAAATATCAAACAGCTAGATTATGGCAGCCATGCAAAAAAGCTATTTTTCCTTTCAATGTAATTTTCAATATGCAAGTGAAAACTCTATCTTCACTAGCACCACTCTAATGTGCCGCCTGCCTCCTGGACACTACAACAATGAATCCACTTGTGCTAAGTAAGGATCCTTACCTCCACTCTATCTATATACCTACAATCTGTGCTTTATGAAGTAGCTAGCTTTAACATTGTTCTTTAAAACACACAACACACACACACGCACGCACGCACGCACGCACGCACGCACACACACACACACACACACACACACACACACGAGGATGGACAAGCACTACTCCGGTAGCAGCAATAAATGGGCATTTAGAATAAAACTCTCTCTCTCCCTCTCTCTCTCTTTCTTCCCCCCTCCTTTTGATGATATTATAAAGCCCAGAAACAGAAAACACAACATCGAGGTCCTTGGCATCGTGTTCAAAGTATATCAGGGACTCAAACATGAAGAGGAATTAAAGAAACCATCACACAGGGAGCTTCACTGGGAGGAAACTGAGCTTGGCTGACTGAAACTGCTGCCAGAGCTGGAAGGAAGAGTGTCCTGGGTGTGTAAACCACACACACACACACACACACACACACACACACAGAAAAACACCCACAACACGTGCACACACACACACACACACACACACACACACACACACACACACACACACACACACAGAACCCCCCTCCAAACTCGCTTATAAGCCAGGCAGATAACCACACAGGCGAGCATTTCCTTTCCTCACCGGCTTCTTTTTCTTTCAGCTGCAAAAGAGCCGGCATCGGAGGGTGCAGAAAATAACAGTTTTCATGTCTTTGCTTAAACTCTTCAGCGGCGACAGGTTCGATGCCGAGAGCAAACCAAGCAACCAGACCATCCTCGTCTTCCTCTGGGACGCCTTCAGTATTCTTACGCCACCCCTTTCTCATCTCGAGTTCTACTCCAAGGAACACCAAGGTGATCTTCTCAGGGTGCGCCAAGAAATCCTTTACATCTGCATGGTTCAGCTGGCAGAGCCTGACTTCCGGCTGCTGGGAACTCTCTTTGTTGCCACCCAGAGTAACCAGGGGGTTTAGGTCTGAGAAAAGGATATAAATGGTGGCTGGGTGGCTCTCTTTAGCTTGCAGCCAGTCACAATTATTTCTTTTGTCACTCCTCCGGTCCAGTAGTGTTCTGCTAAAATAATTTTCACATTCGTCTACTTCACTGGTTAGGAACCAAGGCTTCTTCCCACCTTTTGCATTAGCTAACATGTTAGCTATGTGCTTATAACCCCAAAATACAGCGATATCCAGCGCAGTTTGATGTGACTTGTTGACAAGTGACCTGTCACATCTAGACAGAAGAAAACAATGGGGAGGAAAACAAAATGAGAAATAAAATCTTTCTCTTGTGTTTATTTTAGCAAGATACATATATAGCCCTACTATTTTATGTTTTTTGTTTTTCTTTTTCATCATTTGGTGCATAGTTTACTACTGAAGGTTAAAAGAACCATGTAACAATTGTAAGAAACAAAGGTTAATGATGGTAGACATTTAAATAAAATGAAAACGTGTCTCTCTGTGTCACAAAGAAATGCAAACATTCTATATACTCCATGGTAGCCATGCGGAGACTCACCCTTTTTATATAGAAGAAAGACATTAAACTCCTCAGAGACATTTTCTTTGAAAAAGTAAGAAGGGTTAACTTCCCAATGAAGAAATTATTCTCTAAACTATTTCTCAAATGTAGCTCTGAGTGAGAGACCTTGCCTGACATACATGAAGACTTGTGTTCAATTTCTAACACTGACCAAAAACAAAAACAAACAAAAACAAAACAAAACCCTGAGCATTGAGCTATTTACTAGCCCATCAATAAAAATCCATGAAAGGACAACGTGAAAGGACATGATAGCAGAGATTAAAGCACAAACCCTTTGAGGTGGTACAGCCCTAAGGTGTTTACCCTTTGTCAAGCAGAAGCTGGACAGCATCAGGATGCCCGTTCCGTGCCGCATACATTAAGGCGGTCCAGCCATTTTCAGAGGTTGCGTTGAGCAGGGATGGAGAATGACTGAGTATCCCTGCCAACTGGGCAACATCCCCTTCTGCAGCGGAACAGTGGAGTTTGGAAATGATTTCCCGCTTTGGATTTCCTTTTTCGTATGACATTTCTTCCTTAAAACAAACAAAAAACAAGGAAAACCTTACTTGCTGTTGCTTTTTGCCTGGATGGATGATATATATTTAAGAGATGACCTTGGAGACAACGTAAGTTTCCAAACCTACACCCATCAAAAGATAACTCACGGACAACTGCTATTGCCATGTAGACTCTGAAAATGTTATCAGTCGAGAATCATAATTTAATGTATGTGCCTAAGAGTAGGTGGGAAGCTACTCTTAGATGTGGAGCTTGGAGCTTGGGATGGTAGAGGGGGCAGTAACAACACAGTAAAAAGGAGTGGGGATCTGAGGACAGAGAAACATGGCGGGACAGGGTTAGAGCAGGTGACATTAGAGGCAGATGTTTCAGCAGATGATAAGAAGTATCCTATACTATGTCATAGATGTCATCTCTCAAAAATTATGGCTCTACAGTTACTCAAGAGCTTTTAAAACTTCACATAAAAACAATTTACTGGCTAACCTTCCATAATTAATTTTGCAATCCATATGGTACTGAGTTTTGTTCACGGTGTGAGGTAGACTAGGTCAGGATTTTTCATTCGTGGATAATGCATGAGTCAGCACCATCCTTGAAATTATCTTTGTCTCTTTGCACTGCAATGTTATCCTTGTCACAAATTAGATGATGATGATGCAGGTTTTGTTGGCCACTCTGTAGTCCCTGAAGCAATTTTTAAAATGATTAACCTCAACTGCCCTGATATTGTTTTGTTGTAAACAAAGGGACGCCCTGGTCTTAAATTTGTAGTTCTTAATTTGTAATACAGAGTTATGCAAAAAAAAAAAAAAAAAACCCAAAGCAAAGCAAACTACAGACTGAAAAAATATGGTTTGTGTTTCAGCTATCTGTTAACCAGAAAATATTCTTTCTTCTTAGTTCTACTGCAAGTCTTATCTTTTGGATTTTGAAATAGCAATCAGGCTAGTTAAACCTTCAGTGTAGTCGGTACAAAGTTGAGGAAAATAATCTGTCAAAGATCAACTTGCTGATTTGGGATCCGCTTTCCTGCCCCTGCCTTCTGTTATTTATAAATAGTTTAATTTCATTTTACATTCCAACCACAGTTCTTCCTCCCACCCATGCCCCACCCCCATTCCACTCCTCTCAAAGGGTACCACCTCCCAGGGGGAGTCAACGAAGCCTGGCACACTAAGTTGAGAGGAAGAACTGAGGTTGGAATGTAGAAATTAAATTATAAAATAAATAAAAATGGCTTAAAGCTGTCTAAGGTAACTCAAGAAACTTGTTTAAAATGTGTTCGCCCCGAAGCCAGGAGTAACCTCTACATCTATCAGTTTCCTTTGACCGTATTCACTTTACTTATTTCCCCACTTTTTTCATACTGAAGTTTAAAAATACTTTAAAATATCGTGGCCATGGTAGTAATATTACAGGACTTAATATGAAGCGCTGCTACGTGTCTTCCAAAGTCCCTTTCTCTTAAATCACATGCACAAGCTCCTGCTGCAGGGAGTTTCTCCAGGGAAGTTTACTTTGCGTGCTTCACTGTTCCCTGTTCAGAGGTCATGGTTGCAGAGTTCAGGTCACTCCTTCGATGTCCTCACAGATCACCCCGGGTGCCTGCAACCCTGGCCACACAAACATGTTGTGCCACACACTGCCATCAAAGCAATAGGTACGCACAAAACACCCTGGGGACTAAGAAGTAAAAAACACAAGCCCCCTGTGCTTTAGCTTTCTCAATGTAAACGTCATTTAGAAGTACCACCGGGTCGCCTTCCAGGGAAGGCGCTGCGGGACCTGTGCATCATTTCTTCCCTGTGGCAGGGCGAGGCTGGGAGGGCAGCGGAGAGGGAGAGCCTTGCCCCTGCTTTGCGATGCTATTCCCAGAGGGCAATCAGAAGAGTTTTAAAGGCGCTGATTTTAACCACACCAACATTCATTTTTACTAAGTAAGTAACCTGGGGCCCTAGACCTGCCCGGCACGGCTCCAGCAGGATACATTAGGGCGTCAGGGTGGCCCTGACCACGAAGCCACCAACCATCACTTCGTAACGTCTACACTCGCTGGGCTGTCAAGGCCAGTTTAACCCCCAGACAGCCCACGCCAGCAGGCCAAACGCCTTGAGCAGTTACTTTTTCTTCTATTGCTCGATTCCTTCTGTCAAGCAGGGACGCATCCCAGGGAGTTTGCTTCAGCCCACGGAAACTTGGCTGGCAAGCTCAGCAGCTGTGGCCCGCACGCAGCAGCCACAGGTCCGCGTCCCGCGCCTGCGCCCTCCAAGCCCCTGCCAGGCTGCGCCACCAGCCCGCCAGGGACGCCCAGGGACAGCACGCCCTGGAAGGTCTCGGGCCGCTGGGGCTACTAACCCAAGTGTGGCCAGAGAAACCGCGACCGCGACGCAGGACTCCGTGGGCAAACTCAGCTCTCACTGCTCCCTGCCCTGGAGATAGCTTTCGGGACTTCCGGCGGACGGCCACCGTCCCCGCACAGCTTTATGGGAGATGTAGTTTAAAGGCCACCCACTGTGCACGGCTGGAGATTGGGGCGGGGTGGGGTGGTATGGGGTGGGGTAGGGACTTGGACTTCTCACTGACAGTGGGAAAGAACGCTGCTAATTCTTCCCCCAGGTGGAGGTGTGCGGAGAAAAGAGTTGATGATGTGATGATGATCTGGGCAAATCATCTTGTCTTGCAGTATTTCTCATCCGGCTCGCCAACTTTCTTTCATATGCTGCAATACAGTTCAGTGTCGTTGAGTTTTCAAAAGTGTTGTATAAAATGTTACAATCTGTTCACACATTAGGTTAGGACTATGTCTAGTTTTTTTATCCGTTTACTTTCATTTTATTTATCTTCCCGATTTTTTTCATATTCAAGTTTTTGTTTTCGTTTTTCCAGACAAGGATTCTCTGTAGCTTCAGAGGTTGTCCCAGAACTCACTCTGTAGACCAAGCTGGCCTTGAACTCACAAAGATCCTCCTGTGTCTATCTCTGCTTGGATCAAAGGCGTGCGTCGCCACCGCTTGACCATATTTAAGTTTTAAAATATTATAATATTAAATATTATAAAATATTACACAACTGCTGTAATCTTTCAGGACTTTATTCTGAAGCAGTGCTAAGTGTCTTCCAACTTATTTTCTCGTACATCACTTTCCACAAACTGGACTCTGTAAAAACCTCGGTTCACATTATATGGGAAATGCCGTCACAGAGTCTGCATACTTGTTATGTAGTCCTTACAAAATGGTGTGTGGCGCTTCCATGCCGGATTATAGGCTTACATATGGTAATGCATGAAATACTCTTGGGACCAGAGATGACACCTGCAATACAAGGTTGTTGCTTTTATGAATTTAATTTCCTATGATTTCATCTTCCAAAGCCTACAAAAGTCATGTGACTCTTTGAGAAGCTTGGTGTTTATGGGCCTTCTAATTCCCAAACCAGGGAATTGTCTCTGTCATTCAGCAACCACTGAGGAGTATCTTGAGACTAACTATTGCTTTCTAGGCTCTTACATAAATATTTCATATATCCGTTGACAGTCCATGTGTGATGCTCAAACTGGGACTGAGCCCAGAGCCTCCCTTGTGCATGGTAAACACAACTGCTGAGCTACAACTTACTATCCATCTATACTGCCATGACTGTTTCTCAAATTTTGTCCTATGCTTATTTCTGTGACTAGCTGTTGTGGTGGTTTGAAGAAAAAAGCCCCACTCCCAGGTTCATACATTTGAATACTTGGTCTCCAGTTGGTAGAACTCATTATGAAAGATTAGGAGGTGCAGCCTTATTAGAGGGCATATTTCTCTGGAAGTGAAATTTGAAGTTTCCAAAGACCATGCCATTCCCAATTAGCCTTCTCTGCCGGCACAGATGCCCCCTACCTAAAGCTAAGTATGCAAGCCCTCAGCTATGGCTCCAGTGCCCTGCCTGTCTGCCTCCTGCCATGCTTCCCACCATGATGCTTAGGACCCATCTGTAGAAACTATAAGTAACCCCTCTCTCCAATCAACTCTTTCTTCTTTAAGTTCCCTTTGTCATGGTGTTTCTTCACAGTACTAGAAAAGTAAGTAAGGCGGATATAATTACGAGTCACAGCAGAAATATAGCTGCTAGATATTTCCCAGTTCCAGGCTTTGTTCTCCTGGTTGTTGGTGACAACCTCTTTCTTGTAGTTCTCTCAGGAAGCCTCCTCCTCTGAGACTGCCCTAAGAGCTTCAGTGGCCACCCTTTAGGTTCTCCTATGAACTTCACTCTCAGCCTTTTCAATGGATCCATGAATATTTATAGGCTTTGAAGGTACCCTATGTGGCTGTTCCAAACCTTCAAGAAAAATACAAGCATCACCTCACTACAACAACAGCCTGGGGAACGAGACAAACCATTTTTGTTCATAGGTTTTGCTCTTGTCCCTTGACAACCAGTGTTGTTCTGAAGCAGTGAGATAATCCTCTGTATGGCTTAAGAAATTTAATGTAAACAAGGCCTTGTTTAAAGAATTGGGAGGGGTAGGGAATTCTTCCCCTTTTAGCCTTTCTAATTATTGTTTGAAACATCCATGGACTATTTCTCTGCCAGCCTGTCCTTGTGGGCTGTAAGGAATACCTGTATCATGAACTATTTTATGTTGGGCACGGAAGTTTTGAAATGTACAAGAGTTGAGGCATGGACACAGTTCTGTCTTGAGGTGCACAGACCAGCAGGGGGTGCATTACTTAACTATTTGCCTAGCCTGTTCTCAGGAGAACATTTAAAAAGGGGCATTAAAAAAGAAGGGGGCATTTTAATGGTAAAGGGAAAGCATGATTATTGTGAGCTTGTATTACGGTGGACTGCATAGTGACAGGGAAGCATAATAGAGACCTCAAGGGCAAGGTATTGTCTTGTGTATTACTGTCAGCCCGTGGTCAGGGAGAACCAAGTGCAAATTAATATGACCATTGTAGCAAGAACTCTGATGGTGATGCAAGAGTTTCTGAGTCCAATGGAAAAGATGGTATCACTGTTGATCCTGGGTCCAGCAAATATAGGCTATCTCCAAGGCTTGCATTACTCTCACTACACAGGGACTGTCACTGTAAATATTGATGGGAGAAAAGGAAAAATCTTCTAAAGCCATGCAAACTGCAGAGAGTTCTGCTCTTTGACCTGAGGTATGGGATTTACATTTTACTTTAGAACCTGAGAAAGAGTAGTGAGCAGCTATGAGGTTGGCAGAATCCTCTCTATAGACAGTGTTAGCTGAAGCAAGTGTTGAGATTGTGTGACTTTGGGGAAAACAAGCCCTTGAGTGGATGCAAAGTATAGTGTGTTAGACATGGGAAGATGAGAATCAAACTGCCCATGGTAAGCCAGTGTTATTTTACCTAGCATTTCTTTAATGCATTTGTGCTCCCTTAAGATAAATTTTGCCACCTAGTCCTAGTAATAGTAAGTGCTATGGAGGGAGAATGTCCCAAAACGTGTTGCCATTGCAAAGTACCTCAGTAAGGGTCATAGTCAATATTAGGATTGCTAATAAAGAGTCTGAGCAAGTTCCAGTTTTACACTACACTATGGGACAGAGCCCCTGCCACTGCAGTTAGAGCCGTCCTAGCCCCAGAAGCAAGATGATGTGGATAAAAGGGGTTGGTGCCTTCTTTTAAAATTTGGAAGAAGAGAAGAAAGTCCCTGGGTGGTAAGGTTAAGCTGGAGTCTGGACCAATTAATATCACCCAAAAGTTTTTGGTAAGCATGAAGTGTTTGGAGACAATTCTTGCAAATTTCTAGCTTTTGAGAGAATACAGTGTTCTCCTCTATAATTTTACATAGATACTAGAATGAAGATGGCTTTTAGCCCATACCTGGAGGGTTTGCTTACAGCTTCAGAGGTTTAGCCCATCGTCATCATGGTGGGGAGCAGGGTGGCACACGTGGCACTGGAACAGTAGAGAGCTACATCGAGATCTGCAGGTTGAGATAGGGAGACACTGGGCCATTCTATGTACCCAGCTTTTAACTGTTTCTCCACCAAAACAGTGGCAGCAGTCAATTTACCCCATACACACCCCAAGTCTTAGTACACCTGGCAACAAGAGCCTGAATACTCCAGTAGGGATGGCTTGGGTCCCCATGTTAGGGCTTGTGATGAATTGATTAGTGGAACTGAGGTTCAATCCCCCACCAACTGATGTTGCCTGATAGAGATGATGAATGGTCACTTTGGTGGCTGAGGGTCATCTATCTGCCCTGGTGTTTTGTGGGGTTCTGTAGGGTGCTAATCCCTACTGTTTGATTGGGCCAGGGCAGGCCACAGAGGCTGTTTCTTCAGCTTTCCCAGAGGTTTTCTATGAATATTCCTTTGTGTGTAGCTTTCATTATCCCAGTGGATTCTCCCTGAAATCTCAGGCACAGGGCTGTTTGGACCATCTGGGAGATACAAGGCCCTGCTTCTTTTTAAATTTGAAATCCTCATGGTAGCTCTCATTGGCAAAAATGCCCTGTTTCTTCACATTCATAACAAATACCACTTGTTCCCTCAAGGCATACAACCTCCTTAAGGGTAGTTGAGAGAGCTACGGACCTTGACAGTGGCTAGGACCTATATTGGCACACAACCCAATCATCTTTGGGACATTCAAGCATTTATAGAGACTCCTGAGGGCCTCCTTACAAGTCTCGTTAGCATTTTCAAAAGCCAGTTGCTTCATAAGCAACTTTTCCTCTCTAGGTTCTTCATAAGGAGCCCTGTAACTTATAAGAGCTGGGCCATAAAACCTGTGTACAACTGTTCCAGGCCCTGGTGAATATCAGTGGATGACATGGCCTTTTCCTTTCAGTGGGCAAGTTTGCATGCCCTCTAGACAGCTATACTAATTTGTTGGTAGGCCTGTGTAATTTGTAATTTGTCGGTAGGGCAGTCTTGTAATTGGTACCTAGAAGCATGTCTGGGGTTGTAGAAATTCCATTGTGTAGAAATTACGCTGCTCTTGGTCCTGACATAATGCTATACGCCCAATTTTAAATAACAGTTAGAGCCCTGGGTGGATGGAAAATTTTGGCAAGCTTAACTCAGAGGGAGGCCAGGGTGTGTTACTGAGGACTCTCTGAACAAGCCCTTTGTTAAATGGAGCAGGAGACCCAGAGAACAGGTAGGACTGTTTGATCTTAGTGATTGGAAAGGTACAGTCTCATAGAAATTCAGGATATCTCCCAGGGGATTTAGTTCAGGTTGTTCAAATATGGGTAAGCTGTCCAACCATCAATATTTTCCCCCTAATCTCTCCTACAGTAGGCCTTCTGGAAGGATTGAGGTTGCTCTGCCTTGAACATATCCATGGCCCAGACTCAAGGGGCAATATTGCCATGGGTTGGTAGCTTTGCCCTCCTAAACATTCTCCTCAGGGTCAGCATTTGCGGCATCAGGCATGTTGGGACAAGCACCTGAGTCACTACCTGTGGATAAGTGGCTGATTCTTTGTAATCTT